TTGTACTTAATGAACTCAAGAATGTTGGTGAAGACAGACTCGCAAACTTCAACGCTTTGAAATCAATTATAACGGATAATGAGATTAGAATTAATGAAAAGAATCAACCCAGAAGAACTGCTCAGAATGTTGCCAATTTCATTTTCGTAACTAATAACGTTTACCCTGTTAAAATTGAAGTTGGAGACAGAAGATACGTAGTTTTAAGGGTTAATGGTAAATTCAAGGGTCAATTTGATTACTTCAAGAATTTAATGGATTCATGCACAAAGGAATTTTATGATAATTTACTGACGTATTTTATCAATTACGACCTTTCATCATTTAATGTACGAATCATACCGATGACTGAAGCCAAACAAGATTTAATTGAATTATCAACAAATCCTTTAGATGTATGGATAAATACACATTATGATGAATTGTGTGCAGGTATGACGTGTAAAAATGCTCTATTCTGCAAACCATCAGACATGAAAGACAAGAATTTTCAAATGAGTATTAAGGATAAATGTGATAGGAAACATAGAAGAATAGACGGTAAACAAACATGGTGTTATGTTTTGAAAGAAGAAATGAAAGGATTATATAAACAGGTTGAACTAAACGATAATGAGGATTCATTTACTGACGATGAAATACCTGTAAATGAAGCTTTATAAAGTATGATTTGAATTTATTTTTGCCTTCCTCCTGTGTTGTTGTCTAAATGTCATGTTGTCTCATTTTTTAAAAGAAGTTAGTTTACCTGGTAGCACATGGTAACATGGTAGCACCTACAGTTCTTCAAAAATAATTCATAAATGCCTTCCTCCTGTGTTGTTGTCTAAATGTCATGTTGTCTCATTTTTTAAAAGAAGTTAGTTTACCTGGTAGCACATGGTAACATGGTAGCACCTACAGTTCTTCAAAAATAATTCATAAATGCCTTCCTCCTGTGTTGTTGTCTAAATGTCATGTTGTCTCATTTTTTAAAAGAAGTTAGTTTACCTGGTAGCACATGGTAACATGGTAGCACCTACAGTTCTTCAAAAATAATTCATAAATGCCTTCCTCCTGTGTTGTTGTCTAAATGTCATGTTGTCTCATTTTTTAAAAGAAGTTAGTTTACCTGGTAGCACATGGTAACATGGTAGCACCTACAGTTCTTCAAAAATAATTCATAAATGCCTTCCTCCTGTGTTGTTGTCTAAATGTCATGTTGTCTCATTTTTTAAAAGAAGTTAGTTTACCTGGTAGCACATGGTAACATGGTAGCACCTACAGTTCTTCAAAAATAATTCATAAATGCCTTCCTCCTGTGTTGTTGTCTAAATGTCATGTTGTCTCATTTTTTAAAAGAAGTTAGTTTACCTGGTAGCACATGGTAACATGGTAGCACCTACAGTTCTTCAAAAATAATTCATAAATGCCTTCCTCCTGTGTTGTTGTCTAAATGTCATGTTGTCTCATTTTTTAAAAGAAGTTAGTTTACCTGGTAGCACATGGTAACCCCCTCATTTATTCAAAAATTCTGTAATTTCATTAATGAGGTATGCTGAATTGGAGCTCAGGACTTTCAATCCGTCCGAAACCATGCATAAACTGTCATATAGGGCGGCATGTAATCTTTACTCTGTCCCGTCGTTTGTGTATATCCTGAAACATTATGTGTATGATTACCTGAACCCTGTGTATCGTTCCAGTAACAATTAATAGCAAATTTAACGTCATCTTTAACATCATATCCTTTACCTTTTGTCATTCCTGACCAATCCCAATATCTATGCTTATGCCATCCTGCTTCGGTTGTGTTTAAATTAACGTAATGACTGTGAGCAGGTAAATTTTCACCCGTAATTGTTTTACTTCCACCGGTTTGTTTTGATGAGTTTGTACAATATAAAAAACGATCGGTTATCTGCTGCCATGTACCAAATCCAAATAATGTTGATGGATTTGTTGAATTCATTGATGTATATATTGAACCAATGGGGTAAATCATCTCAAACATTGTATTTAATTTAGTATTAACATATTCCTTATCTGCTTTCTTCTTTAACTCAGTATTAACCCATTCCTTATCTGCTTTCTTCTCTAATTTAGTATTAACCCATTCCTTATCTGCTTTCTTCTCTAATCCATTATGAATATTGAATTTATTATATAATATTGAAATCGTGTAAGAAGTTAAAATTGGTATTGTCATCAATATTAACATATTATTTTTGAAAATTGCTTTTTTAACATCTTGAAATTTTGTGATTTCAGACCAATTTTTTCCATCACTACTGATATTTACTAAATCACCACATCCAAAAGCAATGAAATACCATCAATATAAAAACAAATTTGTAAATCTATAATTTCGAGTAAATTTTGGAGTGAATGAATAAACCAATTCCCAATTTGGTGTTTTCTCTGGATCCTGTGAAAAATCTTGTGATAAATAAATATGTCTGTTATAACTTACAGGATATGAATACAACATACTACCTGAAACAAGAACACAAACATTTGAAGCATAACATAAAGCTTCAATGTCTCCATCAGCTTGAAAAATTTGTTCAAAACGACCAAATGGTATTGAATATGATCTATAAATTTTATCATTTTGTAGGATAAAACACATGTTGTTAATGTAATACCATTTACTTGTATAATCAATTTTCAAATCTGATGACATCAACTAAACATATAATAATTTATCCCATCCTCACTAATGAAAATTTGATTGACTTCATAAATTAGTACCCATTTATTATTAACACATCTAATAGGATTATTTGGAATATTTAAATTTAAACATCTTGATTTAAATTACATTTGAACCATTGGATACAATCGAATGAATAACAAGGGCAAAAATCATCTCCAACCGTTATCATTCCCATAAATTTGCCGTTATTATATTCAACATAAAAAATTCTTGGATTAATGATTGGCTCTCGTGTATCAGGATTCAAAACGGATGGAGTAAATGATTCATAGTTTTTAAAATCATTTGTTTTAAAATAATAAAGCACTCCGCCTGTATAAAATAAATACATGGTCACCCCATCGAAACATAACCATTCAATATCTTCAAATGTTTTATCTGATGATTTCATAAAATTTAAAAATGGTGGGGTAAAATAGACCTCCGATTGTTTTATTTCTTCATTAACAAATGATATATCAGCTTTCTTTGCTAACTCAGTATCAACGTATTCCTTATCTGCCTTCTTATTTAACTCATCGTTAACTAATATTTTATCTGCTTTAAGGTCTAAACATCCTGAAACCCATCCTGTATCAGCTTTAGTTTTTAAAAATCTTGATGTCCGTTCATGATACCATTCAACCCTTTCTATAATTTCATTATCTTTTTCATCCACATATTCCTTATCTGCCTTCTTCACTAACGCACAGCCACATATGCTAACTCATCGTTAACATATGTTTTATCTGCTTCTTCATTATGTCATTTAGGAAACCTTTTATGAATTCCTCATTTAAATTAAATCTTCCAATCTTCAAAACTTTAGGAAATGCATTTAATGCGTAATATCTCTGTTCTTCTGGTGGAATTGATGTTATATCATCCGTTATACCTTTAATTTTTGAATTCATAAATAAAATTTCTTTTATATTTGATATCACCGCACCACCTTTGCAAACGAATTCAAAATGGTCATTTTCAATACTATCTCCAAATCTCCATATTTCAACCTTTGCGTTTGTTCTGCCGTCTTTGAATTATATGCATATGTGGCGTATGTAATGGTCTGTGGTTGCTGTTGTTTAATCATTTATTACGATTTAAAATAAATATTTAAATCCGTTATCTCATCAGCTATTTTTTCTATTTGAAATTGCCATAATATTCATTCATGAATTCTAAATCACAATCAAATAGGTCAGTTATTCTAAATTTAATATTTGATAAATCTTTTGAATGAAGAATAAATGAATTCCCGGATAATTGAAATGGATATGATAAAGAAAATATGTTTAAGTTGATGGATAAAATGTTTTGTATTGATGGGTAAGAGTTAGGGTCTAATGTTTGATGTGAAAATCTCATTGGGGTATTAACTTTATCACATTTGATTAAAATGAAATTGGAACCAGTGTCAGAATACAAAACATCCCCAACATCTTTTTCAAAATTTAATATCCCCAACAATGAACGAAGACGAGGAGTACAAAATTTAATTTTCAGCGGAAATTTAATAAGGTTATTTATTTCATCAAGTTCAAAAAGTTTATCGGGTTTTGATTTAAAATTTTCTTCATACCATACGATAAATGATTCATTTAAATAACTTAAAATTGTGTTAATATCCCCCCTCACTATCACATTATTTATATACATATCATACGTTTTTTCATGGTCATCTTTAATAAATGATATATAATCTGAAGGGTCTAAAAGAATGGGATTAAATTTACCACTCACAGAAACGAGAGTAACATTATAAATTCCACTAACTGTTAAATTTAATTCACAACTATTATTCGAAATAATATTGATAATTGACATTTTTTATTACGATTAAAAATATGGTAAAGCGTTATTTTCCAGTGATAAATAAAACTAGAATAAGATTACCTCAAGAATTCATAAATTCAACGAATAAGAAATTCATTCATGTTATAAATTTTAGTGTTTTCAGAAAATATGAGTCGATGTCATATTCATCATCAGGTTATATTTCACTTCATTCAAATTTAGTTCAATCAAACCCATATAATGACCATTTCATAAGATTTTCAGATGGTATTAAAAATGTAATTGATAGATTAAAATATGAACAGATTGACAATATCGAATTTTTGGAATTTTGGTTTAAATATCCCGATGGAAAAAAGATTGAAGTTAAAGATAAAGCAGATACTATAACAAAAACAATTACAATGACTGATCCAGATAGTGGGGAACAAAAAGAAATAAAACAAACGATAGAAACTGGTGAAAGGTCAATTATTATTGATTATGATTCAAAGGATTATTATTCGTTAATGTTAATGCTTGAATATTAAATAGCCTTAACAAAGAATTTTTCAAGTGATATTTTATATTCATCAACTATTTTATTATAAATATCATTATATGTTAAATGAAGTTCAGTTGTTGTTCCGTTCTTTGATATCTTAATTGTGCTAATATCCTTTATAGGATTTATTTTTGCAACTGTTCCGCAGCATGAAACCTCATCATCTATGAAAAATTGAATCTTCACGTCTGAATCTTGAACATCACAAAGAATGGCGATAATGTGAATTAATGATTCATAAGGTAAAATAATTAAACCGGATTGGTCAATTAAATTTATTATTGAATCATAATTATCAGTTATGATATCGCGATATATTTTCATTAATTCAGAATTAATGTCTATTTTATATGGGTTATCAAGTGGTGCTGGGTATGTTGGATAAGTGGGAATTTCAACAGGTTCTTTACCTGGTTCAGCTAAAATGATTGGGTCTCCATCTTCTTTATTTTGCTCCTCCTCCTTTTTCGGTAAGTCACGAGTTAATAAATTTGGTTGAGTTGCTGACCTTGTTAATTCAGGACTAACATTAACTTTAACATTTTGAATAATTCGTGATTTATCATCATTTACATTATAACCAACCGTAATCTCTGCTTTTGCGTTTGTGTTCTTTTGACTTGTGAAACGTCTTCTCATTTATAATTGAATAAAAAAAAGAAAAATATATTTAAAGTTTTATTTAGTTGTTACGGTAATATCCCAAGGTTCCTCCTTGTTTGCTTATACTTTCTTTGTAACTGCACCAATTATGTTATTGATAATGGTTTGAGTTTCTTCCAGTCTTATTTTATCATTTACAATATCTTTAATCATTTCATTACATGCATTCTTAAAACCATCCGATTTTTCTAATTTACGTCTATCACTTTCTTTAATTAAATCAAAGTTATAACCTTGTTGAGAATAAAGTGGTTTCTTTATCAATTCCTTGAACGCTTCTGAAAGTGAAGATGAAGAAATTCTTGCCACTTGAATTGGTTTAAATTCTGCTTTCATTGCTTCTTTCTGTTCATTGAACACTGGATCGAATAAAGCAACTTTAAAGAATTTCTTAGCTGGAATTTCAGGTCTCAAATTTGCATATTGACCATCAAACTGATTAACATATCGTGGTAATCCATCCGGTCCCTCTTCAATAGCGTTTAATTCTTCATTGAAATAAGAATATGGATTATGACGGTATGAAAGAATTGGTCCATCTTTACTGTCTCCGATATGTTGTTTAACAGCTTTTCCATTTTCATCAAATTGCATAGGATAACGTTCATTATATGCTTTACGTTTAGGATAATCCGTCATTGTTAATTTATACCCATTTATGACTTTAATATTTCCTTGACCATCAGTAACAAAGACTTCATTTATTCCATCAGGCTTTCCATTTGGTCCTGTAATGTCTGCTTCATGTGCTTCCCAATTTGGTCCATGACGTTTGGCATATGCTTGAGCTTCTGGTAATGTTAAAACGTTTCTCATTTGTTTAACATCCTTTTGAAGACCGGCAACAATGTGGACTAATTCTTTCATTCCGTCTGGAACTTTCATAGTTCTATTATATGCACCCTTTTTGTTTGTTCCTTGTTTTAATGGAACCTGTAGAAGATTTGCAATTTCTGTCATGTTTAATTATAAATAAAAAATAAAAATTAATTATAAAAAAGTTATTCGAATTTAATGGAACCTTTATTTAAATCAACTATTATTTTTCCATGTTCTCCTAATTGTTGATATTGTGTGTAAAGTTCATTAATGCTCATTGGTAAATTCACTTGATAAAGCATAACGTTCAACTGTTGACGACTAAAACCACTGAAAATGAAAAGGGTGGACAGGTTTGATTTAATGTTTGTGCTTAATGCTTTAAAGTATTGAACAGCCATAAAGAATGAACACTGAATGTGTCGACATTGAGTTAATAATTGATTAAAATATGATTTCTCATTAGTTATTAGTTTTGATTTCACGGCATCATCTAGAAAAATTAGTGAATGCAAAAATTCTTTATCAAAATTTGAAATAGAAAGTGTTTCAAATAATTCATCCCTTTGTTTATCAATAATTTTATCCTCTAATCCTTGCTTCTTGATTGTATTATATAACTCTTTATACATTAAAAAGTTTTTTAAATAATCTTCTGCTTCTTCTTGTGATAAATAAATAATTGGAATTTTTTGCTTTAAAGATTCAAATGTATCATCTGAAGGTGAACCTGAACGGTTGATATAAATTAACACATGAGAATAAGGTGAAGTGTTAGCAATAATGATAATTTGTTTTAATATCGTTAATGTTTTACCTTTATTTTGTTTACCAATTGCTGCAGTGATTGAATTTAAGTAACATTCAGAATATGGAATTTTCATTAATTTTTCCTTAGATAGAGCATTTTTATTATCACTCAATGCTTCATTAATCATATCATCTACGTATGTATTATATACTCCTGCTAATTCTTCATAAGGGGTGGATGAATTTAAATCCATTTAATCAAAAATAAATTTATAATTTTAAACATTTCTATTCATCAATATTTCATCATATGAACTTCTATACTGTGGTGGTGTACCTGTTGGATGATATTTCAAACCTTCATCCGGTGTCCATGTCCAATACGTAGTCCTAGTAAACCAAACCTGAGGAGGATTTGTCACCTTTGAACAGTAAGTGTCATTTTCACCCTGAATGATTGGATAAGCTTTCACTTGTACTGTAACTTGTGAGTTGAAAGTTTCTAATCCATCAAAGAATATACCCGCTCCATCACGTTGAACTGGAATAGTGCATAAGAATGAAGTTTGGTCTTTCCATGTTCTAGCTAATGGCGTGCCATTATCATCATTCAGTGGTCTAGTTAATGAGTCCTCGTATTCTTCTGTGCATTCATTCACTCCATCTAAATCAGAAGCTTGAAGCATACGTGTAAAGAATATGTCACCCACTGTGGTCATCGCTTGATCGGGGAAGTTTCTGGAATCTATAGTGACCTGAAGACCTCGAAGCATTGGATTTTCTAAAACTGTTCTTTGCATTGCATTCTTCGGAAATGTTAACACAACATCTGTAACATTATGAAGAGCGTATGAGAAATCAGAACTGATACCTTCAGGAGTGATGCAACCTCCATTTAGTGAACGAACGTCAATATGTTGAGCTGGAATCATGAATGGATCTTCCTTACTGAATAAACGTGGTATTGCTTTAATTGATTCTTCAATTAAACCATATCCTGGTGTAATGCATTTATCCTCTAAAACTTCCATCTTTGTGCATGAAATAATAACGTCTTCAACTGTTGCGTCAGCAGATGTAGCGGCTAAGCTTGTAATTAATTTGCAGGAAGTCCGATTTGTTGGAATTTGCGATCGTATTTATAAACATGATTCATAATCTTTTCATAATTTTCATCAGTTATCTTTTCATAAACGTAATTTTGTAAATCAGCAACTCTTAACGGGTCAACCTGACAAAATACTAAAGTATCCCTGAAAACATAATATTTCAAAATGATTTCACCAAATGATTTGGGATAATCATCGAACGCCTGAAATGCTAACAAATCATTTACCGGAATAATCATATCAAAAGTGACATCAACTTCTTCATTTGCTTTTGAAAACTTCTGAAGGGTCAATATATTTACCACATACTGAGTTATCATATTTTTGAACATTATTATATAACGAATGAACAAACTTTTTAACTTTCCTTTCTGATTTTGGTTTATATGTTGCAAATGCGAAAGATTCACGGGCGCAATCCATCTGAAGATAACCGGCATCACCTCTTTCGGTTTCTACTTCTAATTGTTTAAAGCTTTGATTTGATGATTTGTAACCAACGAATAAACGCATGCATTTAAAAGCGGCATCACATGTGAAAGCTTTATTTGAAACTAGAGTTGCTTTAACTTTGCGTTTAATATATGTGTCACCTAATTGGTTCACATCATGAGCCGGATTTGTAATTCTTAAATGAGTTTGTTTATCATCAAAATATGGAGTATCAGAGTCATAGCATGAACTTTCAAGTTCTCTATAATATCTTCTACCGTCATTCTTTGCGAATATTTCATTTATCTTTTCGAATGAATGAAACACATTTCCATTAATTGGTTTAGTGTTTGGCACTAAATAGTTAGTCGTCATTTATGATGAAATAAAAAAATCAAAATTAAAAGATGAAAATGAATTTTTAATTTTAATGAAATAATCAACTATGGCTGCAGGATTCTTTAAAAAGTTATGGGATAAAGTAAAAAGAGGAGCGCATAAAGTTTGGGAAACAATGAAGAAGGAGCAAATTGGATATTTAAGAATAAAGAAGCAATTAGTGACGTTGCAGAACAAATAGCACCTAATGTTCCGGTAAGGGAAGTATTAAATAAAGGAGATAAAGTTTATCGTCGACTACAACCGATATTGAGATAAAAATAATATTTATTTTTCCACTACTTTCCTCCTATTTTATTAAGTATTCCTTCAGCAATTCCACCAACTGCGTTACCTGCTTGTGCTCCCATCGCTGGATTACCTGCTTTAGCACCTAATACTCCACCAATATGATAGTTCCTGCCGTTTTCGCTACTGGTGCCAAAAAGTTTGCAATGGGTTTTATTATTTTCTGATGAACCCAACTTGCAGCTTTCTTAATTCCTTCCCATAACTTTTTAAAGAATCCTGCAGCCATTTCTGATTTAATATTAATTAAAAAATATATTTCATCACTTATATTCTAATTTTTATTTAATGATAAATGAAACCGATTTTAAAAATAAATGAAACAGAGGAGGAAGAAATAAATGAAAGTGAAGATGTTCAAAATAAAATAAACATTGTTAAACCCATTACTGAAACAAAAATTTTTTCATCTGTTGAAGAATTTAATGACTATTATGCTAATAAAAAATTATTTGAAGAATTGACAACATGTAAATTGAATAAAATGTTTAAAGTTGATGGATTCAAAATTTCAAAAATAAAAGGTGTTGTTAGTTTAAAATCTATTCCTCAATCAAGAATCACCTCATTAATGAAAATTGATGATTTAACAAAAAGAATAGAAATTATTGAAGAAAGAATAAATCAAATAATTGATTTCATAAATCATGACTCGTTGAGCCCGGGTCCTTAAAGTCCAGGACTTAAAGTCCATCACTGAGTTCAAGGTTATATTCATCAAATATTTCATTATTAAATGCAACTTCTGCTAGTTTATTTATTTTTTCAATACGATCATTTGAAAGTCTATCGTTTAATTTTTTCTGAAGTTTTTCATTTTCTAGTTCTGAAACTTTATTTGGATGATATGTAAATTCATGAAATTCTTTTTCCTCAGTTTTGATCATTAATTTACAAAGAACTTTTGTGGTTGGAATTCGTTTGAACCATTTATCCTTAATATTTGTTATAAATTCAATATCTGGAATTAATTCCCAAATTTTTGCATTTTCAATTAATTTATTATCAAATGCAAAAGCAATGGGTTTAATATTATGTTTACCTTTATAATATAAACTTTCTACATAATCATCGAAATAAACATCTACTTGTTTAACATTTTCAAGAATTGGTGAAAGAGCATCCATTAATTGATTGACGGTTACGAATCTTGATCCACTCATTTTCTTACGAATTAAAAAAATAAATTATTCATAAATGTCAGAAGAAAATATTTAAATAAATTATTTAAATTTTTTACTCTATTCAAGAATTTTATTTTTGATATAACTCATTGAATTCAAAATTTTTTAAAAAATTGACACCATATTTGGAATCTATGCAAAAATATATTCTTTTTATTAATGGTAATATAGGAATTGTAGGAATAAAAACTTTTTATAAATTATTCATAAATTTTTAAAATCTGCTATTCGGAAGTATGTTCAAAAATCATTCAATTATGTGAGAATTCTTACGATTACAAAAAAGGTCACACAACCCGCACTCATATACTACTCTAATTTTTTGATTTTTAATGTTTTATGAATTTTATTTATCATGTATATATCTAATGAAGATTATATATGTAGAAGATAAGTACCTTAATATGTACGTAAATTTTAATGAAATTTATACAACATTATAAAAATTTATGAATAAAAACTTGATATAAAATAACATTTTTATTTTTACTAAGAAAAAAAAGTTTTTGATAATAAATTTATTTTATTTCGAAAAAGTAGCAATAATCGTAAAAGGGTATTGATAGGCTTGCTAAAGTAACTAATTTTAGCTGTCAAATACTTTTGTATTTTGAAGTAAATTAGTATAAATTTGTTTTTACTTTTATTTCGAAAAAGTAGCAATAATCGTAAAAGGGTATTGATAGGCTTGCTAAAGTAACTAATTTTAGCTGTCAAATACTTTTGTATTTTGAAGTAAATTAGTATAAATTTGTTTTTACTTTTATTTCGCAAAAGTAGCAATAATCGTAAAAGGGTATTGATAGGCTTGCTAAAGTAACTAATTTTAGCTGTCAAATACTTTTGTATTTTGAAGTAAATTAGTATAAATTTGATATTATTTTAACTCCCTTTGAAAACCTCAATTTTCCATACAGAGGGAACGGGAATAGCATCCAATATTCCCTGAGAATGGTTGCGCATTCTCAGTTCCCTCTATATTTCGAACGAAGCTCTCATCGGTCTTTTTTTTTAATACTAAACGTTTTTTTCCCCTGTCACTTTTAGCTAAAATTTGGGTTTGCCTAGTCGAAATCTTCAAATTTCGTATGATCAGAATAACAATTTTTTGCGTTTTCAATCTTACATTTATTAACACACTAACATGAAGATCACAAATCTCTGTGAAATTGATTTTTATTATTATTTCGTTATTAAAATTTAAAACAATCATTTTAAAATCATATATTTTATATTAAAACATCAACTAAAGCTGTATTTTAGCTATTAAACATTAACAACTACATTTTTCTTTCTTTGGCTCTGGTTGTTGTTGGCCATCAGCATCGCCAATAACATGGGATGTAGATAAAACTATATCACCTGTAACAACACCATCATATATAGATTTGGCCACTTGATAAAAACATTCATTGATATTACTACCGGTTTTCGCGGAAGATTCAATGTATTGGAGATTATGTCCTTCTGTGAACTTTTTGATTTCGTCCAAAGTGACTTTTCTACTATCAGAAAGATCAGATTTGTTTCCAACGAGAATCATGTTTGCTTTTGGATGGCAATACTGGCTAACATCTGTTATCCATTCATCAAGTTTTTCAAATGATACATGATCAGTAAGAGAAAATACTAATAACACGCCAATCGCATTTCGATAATACGCTTTTCCGACAGATCTATACTTTTCTTGGCCTGCAGTATCCCATATTTGGAGTTTGATTTGATTTCCATCGATATCAATCATCTTTGTCATGAATTCAACACCGATTGTTGTTTCCGGGTTTGTAATAAAGTCACCACGGCATAATCTTCTAACAATAGATGTCTTGCCAACACTTCCATTTCCAACAAGAAGGAATTTGAAAGTATGACGAGCTTGAGTCTGCTTATTTGACATTGAAATGGCTATTTGAATGGCTCTAAAATTCAATCAATAGAGTGATAAAAAGTGACAAAATCTTACTTACTATAATTTTTGACGTGTAAAGAAATTTTTGACAATAATATAAACTCTTTCTGGTAATAAAAAAAAACTAACAATGGCAGATAGCGACGAGGAGAAGACTTCGGAAGAGTATTATGAGGAAGGATACAACTATCTTCAAAAAGCTCTTCAAAGTTACCGAAATTGCCATGAAATGGGTCACTCTTTAGGTGAAAGAGCTTTTGATATTATTCGAGCTATCCTAGAGGTTATTCCTAAGAACTCAAAAACAGGATTTTCAAGATATCTTCAGAAAGCAGAACATGGTGATACAGAATCTCAGTTCTATTTAGGTGTAATGTATGAAAATGGCGAAGGATGCAATCAAAACTTTCAACAAGCTGCACATTATTACAAACTTGCTGCTGATAAAGGCATTGCCGCTGCCCAAAACTATCTTGCAATCATGTATCAGCTTGGAAAAGGTATTGAGCAAAATCTTCCAGAAGCAGCAAAGTATTTCAGAATGGCTGCAGATCAAAATCTTGCTGCAGCTCAGTTCTGCCTCGGTTTAATGTACGAACAAGGCGATGGTGTCGAACAAAATCCAGAAGAAGCCGCAAGATACTACCGTCTTGCTGCTGATCAAGGAGATGTCGATGCACAATGCAACCTTGCAGCTATGCTTTACAAAGGTGCCGGAATTCCTCAAAATCTTCGAGAAGCCGCAAAATATTTCAAACGAGGTGCTGTTCAAAACGATCCAGACTCGCAATGCAACTACGCAACAATGCTTCTCAAAGGAGAAGGTGTTAGACCTAACGTTGCTGAAGCTGCTCGTTACTTTAAATCTGCTGCAGATCAAGGTCTTCCAGAAGCTCAATTCTGCTATGGATTAATGCTTGAAACAGGTAATGGCGAACGTTTAGATTCAGAAGCCGCAATTAGATACTACAGAAAAGCTGCAGATGCAGGACATCCTCTTGCGCAAACAAACCTGGCCAAAATGATGAGAGTCGGAAGGGGCGCAATGAAGAACCCTCAGGAAGCAGCAAACTTCTTCGAAAAAGCTTACAAGAGCAATAATATCGAAGCTACAGCTTATTTCGGCGAAATGAAGTTTTTGGGCGAAGGAACATCAAAGGATGAGAATCTTGGCAAGCAGCTGATTCTCCAGGCCGCAGAACAAGGAGAACCAGCAGCTTTAATTTGGCGTGGCGAATTTAAGATTGCTGATAAGAAAATTGAGGACGGAGTTAAAGATATCAGGGTTGCCGCTGATGCTGGTCTGTCTAGAGGCTTGTTTGACCTTGGTTTCCTCATGATGAAAGGAATCGGAGTCGAAAAAGACATAAAAACAGGGGCAAACTTAATCAAACAATCAGCAGATGCTCCTGATAGTGGTCCTGACCAGTTTTATGTTACTTCTGAACTTTTTGCCGCTGGAATTGGATTACCAGAAGATGACAACGAAGCTGATAGGTATTCTATTGCTGGCGAACGTTCAAATGGTGTTCCAATCGTTTATGACTTTATTTTATCGATGTATCCCAAAGAACAGAAAACTCTCGAAGGAATTATCAGATTACTTGTCGAATGACACAAAAATAAATATATTGTTGTTTATTATGTTAGAATAAATAGATATTTTATTATACCTTATTTGTTTAATGGCGAATTTACTCCAATCTGAAAATTTAAGTCATGATTTGATAAATGATTAAAATCAATCATTTTATAATCGATTGTCTTATATTAAAAAAATTAAAAAGTTGTATTTTAGCATTTTATCTGTTTATTTTCATAAAGATTAAAAAATTTTATCGAAAACTGATTTAGATTCCTTGATAATTTTAATGACATTCCTTCGAAGTATTTCCACAAACTTCTTTTTGCGCTTTGTTTCAGGGACAAATAGTTTAGTAATCTCTAAATAACCTTTTTCTGTTGCATACATAAGTGGAGTATTTCCATGATCATCAACTGCATCTTTATTTGCGTTTTTGGAAATTAGATGTTTAACAACTTCAAGATGACCTTCTTGGCATGCATACATCAGTGCTGTTTTATTTGTTTTGTCTTTCACATTTACATTTGCGCCAATTGATATCAAATATTCAACAAGTTCAAGATAGCCTTCTCCTGATGCAACAATGAGTGCTGTAAGTCCATCTTTAGATACTGCTTCTATGTTAGCACCTACCGAGACAAGATATTCGGCAATATTTCTATGGCCATTCATAGATGCGTAAATGAGTGGTGTAAATCCAAATTCAGTAGCTTCTTTGGTATCTTTATTACAACCGCACTCGATCAAAAGTTTAACAAGATCGAAGTTTCCAGATCTTGCTGCTTCCAAAATAAGCATTTTATCCCAGGGTGTTCCCTCATCAAGTGCAATTCGCATCATAACTCGGTTCTTTTTAATTGAAAGCTCATTGAAAAAATCATAAGTAAAGTGAAAATCTCCTGAATTCTTAATCACATTAAGCTTTGAACGTATTTCATCTGGAATGAAATAACGATTTGGGTTGGGTGTGTGATACCTTAATCTTTTAAAGGAATTCTGAAGAGGAATGATAAAATCAATTGAGTTGCAAACATTTCTTTTGTTAAAAATTTTTGTGATTGTTTCATCGCTGCAATAATCGAATTGAATACTTTCAATCAATGGTGTGAAAATTTCACTTTTTTCGATGATTGAAATAATGAATTCGGCAAGTGATTCTTCATCTTTTACCTTTAATTCTTTATTAACAATTATCTTTTGAAGTACATCAAATCCTAATTGAGAGACATGATATTTGAGTTGTTCTTGATTGATGCCATAAAAATGAGATGAAATAAAATTTGAACATGTATCTATATCAGTTTGTGAATTAATTTCGAAATAGTATAATAGTTTTTCGATGCAATTATCTATTTCTAATGGAATTTTGTCTTGAATGATATGTTTTTCGAATTCAAATAGATCTTCAATCTCGAGCTCTTTTCCAATTTTTGTAAGGTCCATTAGTACTGTATCATCGCATTCAATTTCGCTTTTATTTCCTTGAATAATATCTTGAAAGATGTCATATGTAAAAGGAGATTCAATATCAATCGTGACCTCAATGCTGTTGATGCTTTTATCAGAATAATATTGGTTATTGATTCTTTTTGATATCATGACCGCAACATTTTTATTGAGCGATATTGTTATTGATTGGCGGGAGCTTGCTTGTAGTTGAATACCGTCTGATGTTGTTAGTTGTTCTTGATTGGTATCGGTACTCATTGATTGTTGTTGAATAATGCCATTTGGCATTGATTGTTGATGACTGTTGATAATTGTTATATTGAACGTTTCACTCTGTGGACACGTATTTATTCTCCTAAAGAAATGGCTGCCAAGTTGGATTTTCACCATTTAAAAAATGCGGGAAAATTTTAAAGAAATTTTCCATAAAAATTCATAAAACTCAAGTTATTGTATTATTTGTGATATTATGTCATAATTGGTCCAGAAAAACAATTCATACATTAAATTTATTAAATATAAATTCAACAAAACACAGTCCTTTTTTGAAGTCAAAGTATTCAAAGCTATTATTGTAATAAACAGAAAAAATAAGATAGTCAAAGAAACAAGAATTTGTAATAAACAGAAATTCATCAAAAGTGACAGCTCTCAATTTTTTGACATTTGTCAATTCTAAATTGAATGAGAAAAATGAAATAATACTAAGCATAATACAATATTCTAGATTTAATTATAATTAGGAAAAAGTTAGTTTTGAGAGTACTTTTCGTAGGCATATAGAATGAAATCTTCTGAAAAATAATATCACATAAACTCATATTATTTTCTAATATATAACTATTTTATATAAAAATCAAATTGGCAAACCCAAATTTTAGCTAAAAGTGACAGGGGGAAAAAACGTTTAGTATTAAAAAAAAGACCGATGAGAGCTTCGTTCGAAATATAGAGGGAATTGAGAATGCGCAACCATTCTCAGGGAATATTGGATGCTATTCCCGTTCCCTCTGTATGGAAAATTGAGGTTTTCAAAGGGAGTTAAAATAATATCAAATTTATACTAATTTACTTCAAAATACAAAAGTATTTGACAGCTAAAATTAGTTACTTTAGCAAGCCTATCAATACCCTTTTACGATTATTGCTACTTTTTCGAAATAAAAGTAAAAACAAATTTATACTAATTTACTTCAAAATACAAAAGTATTTGACAGCTAAAATTAGTTACTTTAGCAAGCCTATCAATACCCTTTTACGATTATTGCTACTTTTTCGAAATAAAATAAATTTATTATCAAAAACCTTTTTTTTCTTAGTAAAAATAAAAATGTTATTTTATAAGTAGTAGGATATGACGGGTTTAGTGACTTTTTTTGTTACATCTATATATAGACGATGCATTAAAATATATTTATTTATAAATCATTAAAAAATTAACATTAATTTTAAAATAATTTATTTTTTTATCTTTTATAAAAGAAGCTATATATAGATGATGTCAGATATTCCGCGATTAATTAAACATTGTTTAAATCCTGAATGGGTTAAACTTCAATTTAAAAATGAAGATTGTGAATTATTAAATGAATATGAAAGCCAAAATAAGCTAATGAGGTATAAATATAATGATAAAGAATATTTAATTTCATGGAATCAATGGAGTCATAATCAAAGACCTCATAAACGAGAAGAAGAAATTGAAAATAATGAAATGGAAATCATTGATGACATTAAAGAGGATGGAATTCCTAAATTTTGTAGAAAAACCTTTAGAACTAAGTTAGGAGCATATAAACGTAGAGTATTAAATCCTGAATATCTTAAACATCAATTTAAAAAGGAAGACTGTGAATTATTAAACGCTAATGAATATGAAAATGCTAAATCAAAACTGAGATATAAATATATTGGAAGTAATGAAAGGTGTAAAGATAAAGATAAAGTTTATTCAGTTTCATATAATAACTGGCACACGTTAGGGATAAGAAAACATTTAGGAGATTATGGTAAAAGTTCCGAATTCTTCAAATCTAGTATGTACGAGAGAATAAAAGAAATTAGAAATAATTATTTTCATGAATGAAAGATTCACTACCATAATGAAATAAAAAATAAAAAAATTTTAAAAAAATAAACTTTAAAAATTAATGTCTTACGAAAAATTAAAACTTAGTTATGTTTATTATTTTATTTTTTTATTTTGTATGAAATGAGCGTCAAAACTAACAACGTTAAAAAATTAGGATTCACAAACGAGGAAATAAAGGATATATTAGAGGAGGTGGGTTATGAAGTTGATAAATATTATTTAAGAAATTGTCAAAAATTCGCGGAGTTATTAAATGATTTAGATTATGATGGAAAAATGAATAAAGATGATGTTATAAATTTCTTATATCCCACATCTGAAGAAGAAAAACCTAAAGAACCTGATGTTTCCCGAATATTATGAAGAACGGATTAAAGATGATGAATACAATGAAATTGAAAGACTGAAAAAAATAAGAGATGAAATAGATGAAAGAATTAAGGAATTAAGAGAAGTTGAAAAATATAATGAAAATGAAGTAGAGGGTTTAATGAATATCCCAGCTTCAGAATCAGAAGTTCAGAAATCTCATGAAGAAAGATATAAAAATTATGTCTCAGAATCAACACAAAATTTATTAGATGGTGAAATAGACGAAACACTTTCAGAAGAAGGTACTAAATTTATTCGTAAACATAAGTTACAATTTATTGATAATGAAGAATACCCCTGTATATTACTTTCACCACCTTTAGATTCCGAAAAATTCAAAAAAGCTCTTAAAAATGTGACATATGCAACTAATACGATTAAGAAAGAAGATCATGATATTTACACAAATTATTATTTAAATAAATGCACAGGTGTTGATAAAGTTTTTGATTTATTAGATAAAATATCAAAAGAAACCATTGGAACATATAAAATTTTATGTGATTGCGGTTTCATTGTTGAAGATACTAATAATGTTTCATATGAAAGAACAGCACCGAAGGAAGATGAAGTGAAAGGTCTATACCATTCGTTATTAAGAATATAAAAGATATGAAAACGTATAAGCATTATATTTATTCATTTATTTCAGAAAAAACGGAAGCAACCCATAAAACATCTTCTCATCATTTTATAGCTATTCATACATTCCTTTTCAAAGTTGTGAAATTAAATAAGACAGGAATTAGATTTAATGTATCAGGGTACACATTCTTGAGTAAATTAAAATGTATTCGTCACGTCGCGGATGATAAAAATTTATGTGTTCTTAATTCATTTTATGGGCTTAAAAAATAAACTTATTTTTATTTATTTTTTAATTTTTTATTCTTACATAAATGAACAAAAACGGAACAGCTAAAATGAATGATAATCAAATTAGAGCAGAAGGTAGAAGGTTATTTAAACGCTTCTATAACATTCCTGATGGTGTTAATCCTAAAACTCGTAGAAGCTATTTAAATGAAGCAATAGATGCATATGAAGGGTTTGACATTTCATCAGAAAGTGAGAGATTAGCGAGAATGTTAAATGTTAATATTGATTTCTATTATTGTGATCCTCAACCAGAAGACGTGGACATAAATAAGGTAGACTTTCCATTAGTGGAATCAATAATGATAGATCCAGAATTTGAAACAGTAAATATTTTATTAACACAGAGTCCATGTGGAAAACTTCACGCTGACAGAATAACAGACGTTGAAGCACTCACTGGCTATAAAGTTTGTCCATATTGTAAAGAAGAAGTTTTTCTATCCGTGATGATCCAGAAAGGAAAAACCAAAGAAGATTTTTAAAGCATTGTGAGAAATGTAAAGAAAATAATGGAGATTAATTCAAGACGTTCAGTTGCAAAAGACACAGCAACCATATGCACCACATATTACGAAACAGAAGATATATCAGTGGTTATTAGCTCACAATTTGCAGAAATATTATAAACCGACAAGATATTATATTACTTTTGACTTTGAAACATTAGAGACTAAAGAAGAATTACAACTTTCTGAGTGTGCAACTTTGAATGCTTACTTAAAACCATTCATGGTATCATCAACGGTTAAATTAAACGATAAAACATATACGAGGAATTTTTGCTTAACTTCGAGTGATTCTTTTATTTCTGATTGGATTGAGTTTTTATTTTCAACCTGTTCATTAGTTGTTGAATCAAATATTGAACAATATGAAGAATTAATGAAGCCGCAAACGGTGGGGACTTTGTCTCATACATTAAATGAAAAACAGAAGGAAGCATTTAAAGAACTTCTAGATGAGGAATTCAATAAAGTGAATATCATAGGTTTTAATTCGGGAAAGTTTGATTTAAATTTAATTCTTCGTGATTTAAACACTGCAAAATGGAAAAAAAATCAATGCTAGGGTTCATCTTCACAATTTAAGCAAATCATTGTAAAGAAAACAAACGTTCCATATGAATTAAGATTTATTGACATCAGAAATTATATAGCGGGTGGGACATTAGACCAATTCACTTAAGATTTCGGAAACAATAAATCACGTGTTAAATCCTTTTTCCCTTATCAATTCATCACGTGGGAAAATTACGAAGAAGAATTATATAAAGTGGAACCATTCACTCAAGATTCATTTTATTCAGCATTAACTCAAGAAACTATATCAGATAGTGATTATCAAATATATCTCAATGATGCTAAAAATTTTAAGAATAGATTAGAATATTTTATTCATTATTGCAATAAAGATGTTGAAATTATGATTGACCCAATCGATAAAATTATTGAAGAAACATTTGTTTATAAAATTGACACGCTTCATAATCTTTCTTTATCATCGAATGCTTCATTGATTCGTTACGCTTTAGCATATAAAGACTTTAATCCTAATGAAAAATATCCTGAGGAAGAGATAGAATCAAGTTTTGAATTAACGAAAAAGTATTGGAAATATAAAATTGAATCATATAAGAAACAAGATGAAAAAGCAGAAAGGGATACTAAAAATAATGTTTCAATGGATGATTTTCAATACTATCACGATTTAATCCTTTCATCTAAATGCAAAATGTGTGGTAAAGCGTTTACATATGCAAATAAACCAACACTGGATAGAATCGATAATGAAAAACCACATACCAAAGAAAATTGTCAGTTAATGTGTTGTTATTGCAATGTCGTAAAATCAAATAAAGATGAAGATGTTCAACGTTTAAGAATCAATTTAAGAAATTATGCATTAAAAAATAATTTACCAATGACTTTAGATTCAGTTGAAGCTTATCACATTCTCCGTAATGGAATTACTGGTGGTCTATCAAATGTTCAACATAGAGTAAATCTTAAAGGAATCACGCACATTAATAAACTTTCATATAGTCCAGAAACTAAAACTGTATCCAATGAGGACACCACCAACATTATGACTCATTTCGTTGGTGTTGATTTTAATTCATTATATCCTTCATCATTTTCATCTAATCCTCATGATTTCATTCAATATACTGACCATAAAATGTATATGCCGGGAAGATTGAATGGTGTTATCATTTGTGATACAGCAACAAAGAAAGCAAAAGCACTGGGAATTATTAAGAAGAAAAATACTTTATTCGTGGCTGAAGTAAAGGGTCACATTGATGAAAAATACATTAATGATTACATAAACTTTTTACTGATAATAAGAAACTTAGATATTATCACAGATGAAAAAACAATTGGCAGTTTTATGTATAATTACATGAAATCAAACAATCTACCAGTTGACCAGAAACAGAGGAAATTAACTCAGTTAGCATCAACACACAACCAATATCAACCATTTTCTTCTTATTATCTTTGGTATCTAATAGACAGATTTCATTTTATCATTGATGACATTCAATCAATTTTAACATTTACTAAAAACACTTGTTTTAATGAATTTGCGAACGAATTTATGAACGAAAGACAAAAGGCTGAATTAGAAGGAAATAAAGGAAAAAGTTTATTTTGCAAGATTTCGCTTAATGGATCATATGGTTACGATGCAATGAATACACAAAATTACGCAAAGACTAAAATAATGAATGCACAGAAGTCACGCGTTGCATGTATGTCAAATAAGTTTAAAAACATAAGAGAAATAGGAGAGGATACGTATCAAGTGATGCTCAAAGATAGATTTTATAGATGTGATACATGTTTACAAGAGGCATTCTTCACTTTAGATAATGCTAAATACTGGTATTTGGTTTTCATTTATGATTTTATGTATAAATGCATGAATGTTAATTGTTTTCATTTCATTGAAGGTGATACTGATTCATCTTATTGGGCAATTGCTGGCGATCCAAATCTTCCTAACACTCAAGCATTTCAAGCAATTGTTACCGATAAACAATTTTATGATAAAAACATTTTCAAATTCGCACCATTTGATTTCTTCTGTTTTGATGAGAAATTTAAACCTAAATTAAAGAATAAAGCTGAAGAAAAAGCACATGAGAAGAAGTTATTGGGTTTAGCAATTGAGAAACAAGGTGATAACATGGTTGCTTTATGCCCCAAGTGTTATACATCATTCAACGGTTCAATTGATGGAAGTGATTTTAAAAAGATTGCACAAAAAATGAAAGGTGTTAGTTTACGACAAAATAAACAATTAACACCTAAAAATTATTTGGATATAATAAATGATAAAGTGATATTTGATGGTCAGAATATTAATTTACAACTTAAAAACGGGTCAATGACTCGCTTAACAATCGGTAAGACTGCATTAACAGGAGCACACACTAAGGCTGTATGTTGTGAAAATGGATGTTGTATGCCATTTATTTAATACAATTTAAAAACGTAGGGGTTGAGTCATGAATTTAAAATTTTATTTTTAATAAAATGCCACAGAAGAGACAAAAGGAACCGTTAATAATGGTTTTGATACTATGATTCAAAGAGGTGGGCACCCTTAAAACATTTATTTTATTTTTATATAAATGGATAACGTAGATTTAGAAATTTTAATTGATGATTTAGTACTTAATCAAAATTTTCTTAATTATTATGAATTAAAATCATATCTCCAAAAACATAATAACAATATAACGGGTGATGATATGGATTATTATTATCCATATTATAAAAATGAAATTTTGAAATATCATGATAAAATAATTTCTAAAATTAAAGACAAAATTAAAAATAATGAATATACAAAGGGAAAAACTAAATCACAACTTAAACAATTGAAAGATTTCAAAAATAAAGTATTAACAGAAGAAGATATTGATGAATTATATAAATTATATAATCCTGAGCCGCAAAAAACAAAGGAACAAAAACAAAAGAAGAAAAAGCCGAAAACAACACCAAAAGAGAAAGTAGCAAATGTTCAACAGCTAAAGGTGCAAAACACCCAGGTCCTTCAGACCATAAATGATGCACAAGCTTTAATTTATGATTCATTAGTTAAACCATATTCAGCCCGACTTTTAAATGAAGATCAACTTTTGGAATTCATCCTTCAACATAAACTCGAAGCGGGAAAGTATATCAAACCTTTATATACAGCATATTTAAAACAAATGAATAGAATACATCCAGAATTAATGAAAGGAGGAATGAAATCCAAAACTTCATCATCCAAAATCAAAGCAGATAAAATTAAATCACTTGCAATACCAAAACCTCCAACGGTAGTACCTCCTCCTTCAGTTAATCCTTCATCATTCACTTTATTATATCCATTTCAAACATTAAAGAAGCAAAAAGATTTTAAAAAGGATTTCAAGATATTAAATAAACCAACTGACCCAAAAATTCAACCGTTAAAGGAAAAATTTAGTCGCCCTTCATTTGCACCATATCCATATTCATACGAAATCGATCATTTAGAATATTCAAAAGGAAACGTTACTTATTTATTTGCCATTAACATTAACACCAGATATTTATATTGCATTCCGGTGAAAGGGAAAACAGAACAGGAAACAAGAAGAGCTAGACAATACTTACTAGATCATGAAAGAGTAGATAATATAATGGGTGATGGTGATAAAGGATTTCAGGCAGCTATGGCTCATTATTTCCCACAAATTAATTTTTACTTTTCATCCTCTCCATATACGTTTCATAATAAAATAGTTGATGCGGTAATGAGAACTCTTAGAGATGTGTTAGGAGTTAACGGTCAGATATACTGGGATGGAAATCATGACTCCATCATACAACAGTTAGTATATTATTACAATAATACATGGCATAGAACTATAAACATGAAACCAGTGGAAATGAAAAATGATATTTCAAAAGAATGGGAATATATTAGAAAGCAAATGGAAAGGTTAAATGATGTTAAACGTGAACAAATTAATTCGGGGCTCATGAATTTTAAACAAGGGGATAAAGTTTTGATTCATCTCGATTATGGAAAAACTGATAAATCAATGACAAAAAGAAGACGAAGATTTGACACAATAGCTGAATTTGTTAGATATATTAACGGCAATGCATTAGTTGAGGTTAACAATAAATTAATAGAAATTCCGATTTATTTTATTACTCCATTATATTTAAATAATATTTAATTTTTTTATTTCGTAAGAAATGAGTGACAACGAAGCATCCAAGAGTCCTGATTCAATTAAGATTCAGAGTCCAGACGATGAATATAAAAAGAAACTAAACAGAATTAAATCAAAAATATGCTATTACAAAAAGAAGCCGCAATGCGGTGGGGCTGAAAACGATAAAGAGAGGAAAGAAATAATCGAAAAATTAGAAACTTACCGTTCAATCCTTAAACTGAGTGAAGCAAAAATAAAAGAATTTAATAGAATAAATAAATTGATTGGAAGAGATGAATTTAATAAAGATGAATTTTTAAACTCAATCCAAATTTAATTTTTTCAGTGTTACTATGTGCTACCATGTTAATTAACTTCTTTTAAAAATGATGACAACATAACATTTTGACAACAACACAGGAAATAAATGTTATCGTTTATGTTTTCATTAATGATTTTAGGTTATTCAATAATTAATTATTTTTGAATAACTGGGAAATAAATTTACGTCAAATATGTAATTTATAAAATCTTATGTCGACAGGCTACGTAGCACAGTGGTCTAAGGTGGTGTTATGGAGGGGTCAGGGTCTGTGGTTCGAACCGCGACAGCGCCGTATTTTCTGATTTTCTTTGTTTGTCTTGTTTGTCGTGAATAAAAAGTGTCATAAAAGTGCTCTATCTTCCACGGGAATAAATAAAAAATTTCCTTTATTTCTTCTTTATTTCTTTGTTCCCGTGGAAGAAGGGTTTTGCTGTTTTTTCTCAGCCGAAATCAATGATTTTTTCATTTTTGGAATCCTTAGCGAATGAAGAATCTTTTCTCTCGTGGAAGCTTTGACCAAAAATATAATAAAATGTCATATTGTCATCATTTTTAAGAGAAGTTAATTAACCTGGTAGCACATGGTAACATGGTAACAGTGAAATAAAATTTTGTTATCAGTTTTTTATCATCATTTTATTAAGTTCATCTTTAGTTAATAATTTGAATGGATTCGCTAATGTTCCACCTTGAGTCACAACACTTGCCCCGGCTAATTGTGAAGAACCTGGGATAAGTACTCCATGAAATGATTTCATTGGTATCATTAATTTAGAAATAGTTGGCTTAATTAATTTTGTCATTTATGATAAAAATAAAATTGCATAATTTAAATTTTTTTCTTTCTCATTTTCTCATTTTCTCATTTTCTCATTTTCTCATTTTCTCATTCTGTTTTGGTTTCAGTAACTTTTCAAGTTGTTGTCTTGTCAGTAACTTTAATTTTAACTTTGGATCAAATATTGGGTTTCCATCTTTATCTCTTCCAATAACACCATATGGTAGAATCTTCATTTATATAGGGTGTCCAAAGGTGCGTTTAGCACAGCGCTCTATATGAGACTATTAAAGGAGATATATGCTGATTATAAATATATAATAAAAAATATGAAATATATGTATATGATGAGTAAGTTGTATTTTGGCGCCATGCCGGGATATAAAATGAATTTTGAGACAAGAGGCGTTTCCGCGGGAAGTTTTGGCGGGATTTTTTCATTTTTTAATGAATCATAAAGAAAACATCCTCGCTCTTGCAAAAAAATGCAAAGACTGTAAAAAAATCTACGAGACATTGGTAAAATGCTTCGGTATGGATGCTCCTAGCATTCCACTGTAACGTATCATGTTAGGATGTAATCACTTTCCATGAACAAAAAGGCGCCCATCATAGAAAATTGGACAAAAAATCGCCGCATCAAAGAAAAATCAATGCCAATTCTTCAAGCGCTAGATGAAGCACCCAAGAGCATCACTCAGAGCAGATAGAGGAGATGACAAAAGATACCGACGTACAATAGTCAGTTATTACTGCACAATATTTGAACTACAAACTAGCGTATACAGCGTTGGTTCCGCACAACCTTAATGCAGTTCAAAAAAATCTAGAGTCCCATCTCGAAGAGGCTCCTCTCTAATATTGGGGTGCGTATGCAATCCAAGAAA